CTTATTGTATTCTTAGTTTCTTTTTACTACTGTGAATGTATCATAACACATATGTACATAAAAAGATGGAATCCTAATGTTTTGAGCATTCATGATATGACAAACAATTAGATGATCCAAGGAACTATTTGAAATATAAATAAGATAAGACCAAATATGCTAATTGGGGGGTGGTTGCTCTGTTTTGATTAAAAATCTCAATTCCATGTCTAACTCAACAAATAAATAAGTCAAATTGCTAAAATAAATGAATATGTTTTTACAAAAATAACTAAACTAATATGTAACAATTTGAAGACCATAATTTGTACAGCAATTCTAATTTACATATCTATGTCACCACTTAGTATATGATTCTTTTCACCCTTTACTCTACGTTGCATGCTTTACTTGAATAATTCTTGTTTATCAGTTATTATTGTTAATACAACTTGTTAATAAATTACATATGCGTAATTGAGTAAAAGGTATATTTTAGTAGGGATTGCGGTAGTTGCTGTCATAGCATCCTGCTGTGAAAGTAAGAAGCCCACTATTTGGGTAGTTGATTTGGTAAAAAAAAAAGTGAAACAAGTGCTGCTACAATACAACCCAGCCAAATATCAATACTTTGCTGTAAAAGTGAGACTGTCATTTCACATTTAAAGTTTTGATTAATTGAATGGATTAGATGACAAAAAAATTGAATGAAAATCACATCTATTAAAGAAATTGAATGAGTTTAATTAGTTTATCTTAGTTTTTTTTTTTAAATGTAAAAATAAAAAAAAATAAAAAAAATAAAAAAAAAACTAGATGTGATTTCCATTCAATTTTTTCCCATCTAATCCATTCAACAAATCAATACTTTTTCACAATGGAGGATTGCTTTTTTCTATTTCTTAATTGTGAAACGAAATAGTTTCACTTTCACGGGAAAATATTGATATTTGGTGAAGACTCTATTATTTCTTTCCAGCCAAACAAGCATGTATAATTTGGTGGGTATGATATGGCAGAAGAAGCAGTTCCTTGAAGTACAGATGCAGATCAAGGATATGTATACCACAGAAGAACTTCTAAAACATTAGGACGCAGATAAGCCAAGAACACCGCAAGACATATATATATAATATATGCATGTGTGTATATAACTAAAGAATAACCTACTATAGACTTGTGCAACAAAATCTTTCTTTATGAATCTTTTAAACATTTAAAATTTTTAACTTTTAATACAAAATTCACAAAAGCAAATTGAGAGTAATGTTTTGTGGACACGATCTAGAGACCAAAGATGTGTTTTAATCTCATTATCCCAATGTTTCTTCACTAAGAAGTAGTCAAAGTACAAAAACTCTTGTTATGTTTCCCAAGAACACTATAATGTTATAGTAGAAATGTCACACATCTCATCATTTGCTTTTGCAATATCAGACAACTAATTATCAGAACATATCATTGGCAGTAAAGTATGATTTGTGGGCACAATGCTAGCAAAACTATTCAGTGTGTTTGGTTTGAGTTTTTTGAATTAAGTTTTTTGAAAATTGAGTTTTTTGGTTTTCGTGTTTTTTTGTTTTTAGTGAATATTTTTAAAATTTTAAACATTTTTTTTATTTTTTTAGATGCACCTTACTTAGATGTATCTAAAAAGTAAAAAAATTACAAAAAAATATTTTTAAAAATTAATAAATACATAAAAATACAAAAAATGTACTGAATTCTCGTATTTTTTTTATATTTTTGGTATTTAGTGAATTTTTAAAAGGTTTTTTTCAATTTTTTTTTACTATTTAGGTATATTTATGTTAGGTATGTCTAAAAATTAAAAAAATTGCTCAAAATATTAAAAAAAATAGTAAAAACAAAAAAAAAACACGGAAACTAAGAAAGTAGAATTTTCTGAAAAGTATTTTTGAAAAATGGTAACCAAGCATAGTGATTCATATTCATTCTAGTTTTTATTTGAACAACTTTTTGACCTTAATGCAAGTGAAAGCAACCTCAAGTTTAAGATTTAAGTCCTTTTGATTTCAATTTAGTCATGAAAGAAAAGGTGGCTCTTTGGATGAAATCTCATTCCAGTGGTAGCTCCTACTCAATTGATATTTGCTCTTGTTTTTGAACTTTGAAATTAGATTTGATCAGTATTCCATTAGGCCCCGTTTGTTTTAGGAGATAGAATGGAGGGGATTGATAGTGAGGGGATTATTAGTGAGGGGATTAGTAATGAGGGGATTGATAGTGAGGGGATTAGTAGTGAGGAATTGTTAAATTATTTTTATATAAAATAATAAAACAAATAAAAAAATATAAAAAATTAAAAATTATATTTGAAAAAAAATTTCCCATATAAAAAAAATAAAAAAAATTTCTAATCCCCTCACTATTTTCCTAATACCATCTCTACCTCCTCCTTACCAATCCCCTCTCCAAGGGTATTAGTAATACCAAGGGACTAATAGTCCCAAGGCATTCTCCCAAAACAAACAAGGCTATTTCTAATACCTTGGTATTAGCAATCCCAATACCCTCTCTTTCACCCAAAACAAACGAGGCCTTATGACATAATTTGAGCTAGATTTTGGTTGGACAATATGCGACTGATTTATAAATTTGTACAGATATTGCTTGCAATTAGTTCATATATGTCAAGTTTAACTGGTGAATCATATGTTACTTTTTGATTTTGGTATATTGAAATCTTGTAATTCACCGTAGGAAAATTTGCTCCTAATTTGTTCATCTAAAATGTGAAACCAATGTTTTCAAACCAAGAACTTTATTATTAACATTTTAACATTGTAATTTTTTTCATATGTTTGACAGATTGGCAATGGATGGAATATAGTTCAGGGAGCATCAAAGGATTACATTTTGAATTTTTGAATATATTTTGTCATAGGTTTTTGTTATGAATTTGCAAGCTTGGAAGGTTTTTTGGAATTACATGTTTGAAGTTTTTTTCATATGTTTGACAGATTGGCAATGGATGGAATATAGTTCGGGGAGCATCAAATGATTACATTTTGAATTTTTGGATATATTTTGTCATAAATTTTTTGTTATGAATTTGCAAGCTTAGAAGGTTTTTCGAAAATACATGTTTGAAGTTTGGAATTGTAAGGGATTAGTACTTAAATTGGATGCTTTGGATTTGATATTTTGTTTATATTTAAAATACTACTACTTTTGAATTAAGTTTATATTTTAGATACTTTGCACAAGCGTGTTAATTTGAATTATATTTTGCCTAAACTTATAAGTTTATGAATTATATACTAAACAGGAAAATTGTTTAAAAAAAATTATAAATAATGAATTTTTGGTGACAGGGTTTTCAGTTGTAAATTTACTTTTTGTGACATTTTATTTATGTTGCTGAAAGTCTGTGTGAATAATTTTTTTAGCGACCCAAAACTTGATTGATCGCCAAAAGTTTTAACATTCAACAACAAATTCTTTTAGTCACTAAAAGATATTTTTAGCGACGCATTTATATGTCGCTAAAACTTAACAAGTCATTTGCTGAAAGCTACTTTTAGCGACTAAATGTTAATTTATGGTGACGAAATTTCAGTCTTTGGGCAACGGAAATATTTGGTCACCTATTTATTTATAAGGCAACCAAAATTATTTGGTCGCCAAAGCATTTAGTGACAAGACTTTAGCGACCAATTTTGTTGATGTCGTGGATACTTTCAGCAACCAATATTACACTTTTGGTGACTAAAAAAAGATCGCTAAAAGTGGTTTTTTTTTTTTTTGTAGTGTCAAGTTGGTCGTGGGTTACATGAACTGTTGAGCTTGAATATCTCGGCAGTGAACTTGATTTTCACATGTTAATAGAAGATAAAGGTATTTAAACAATTTTAGGTTTAATTTGTTTGATGGATATATTTGGGGTTTTAAATTTAGATGGCACAATTCAATTGGACCCGACATAATTAATGATGCTTACTAATCAAAAATATCTAATGGTGCGTAAGAAAAATTTTACAAAAGAGTTGCAATCAAGTTTCGGTACGCATAAGCTCTTCATCATGATTACACATAAGTTAATTTTATAAAAAGATAGGGGTTAACTTTAGCCAGCCTAATTCTAATGGATCTGGCTTAATCTCATGACACCTAAAAAGATTTTAAAAAATGTTCTGGTATCTAATTAAGTGTCGCCACATGGCAAGCCTCATACATGCCACATCACCTTCACAATGGAAGAAAACAAACCCTAGTGGCGAATTCTCCACATGACATGTCCTCTTATAAATCAATGATTGGGTTTATGAGCCAAGCCTAAGCTAGGGCACACATACCACCAAGTATGGTTGCTTGGTAAGTTGAATTCCAAGGGAGAACATGATGTACCGAGAATGGCATTGCCCTGCTGAGGATGAGAAGTAACATTGCCTTATTCCAGCATCTAAAGGATATGTTACCCCATTAGCATGGCCTAAGAATCATGATGCGTTCAGCACCTTAACTCCCAGCCAACAGCACCATGTGACGAGCACAAACATGGGCATCCCAAGGTATGGCCTAGACTGCTACTCGGTTGGACCGAGGTATCTCCACTTGGAATGGAACATCCCCCAAAGATGAGTATTTTGACACTAAAATGTTGGCAAGGGCATCTTTTGACACTACAATGTTGCAATCAGATTGAAAATAAATATGAGATCCACAAATTATGCTTTATTTCTAAAAGTAAGAAACTTGATATTAGTAATGACATCTTCTAAACAACTTGATCGTACTATAAAGCAGTAAAATTTAAACCCTAACTACTGTTGTCTCTACAGAAAAATAAACAAGAACCCAAATAAATTTCCAATAAATCATAGCACTTCAAAACTAAAACTAAGATCTAAAATACTTCATCACAACATAAAGCAACACAATTTAGAATAAAAAGGGTCCCTATTTAAAACCCAATTCACCTCAGCCCTGCTTGTTTCCACAAAATAAAACTTCCCACGTTTCCTAGAGAAAATTCAAGATAGAGAGAGGAAGATTACAGTGTAGTTGCCCGGGTTCATGTGGATGGCTTCGGAGGTGAGTTGGAGAGAGCGAGGAGAGCGTTCGTCGGCCAAGTAGACGGCTCGGAAGTAGTCCATGGTCTCGGCGAACTCTTCTCTGTAGGCGATCGGGACGACCGGGTTTGGACCGTCGTTTTGGCGGACCGGAGTCACGTCGGACCACTCCGGTCTCCGGCTCAAGGGGACTCTATGGTCTTCTTCGTCCGAGTCCATATCTGAGTCCAATCGGATGAGGAATCAAGGGTTTAGTTCAGGTATATATATATATATATATAGAGAGAGAGAGAGAGAGAGAGAGAGGGAGATGAAGTGATCACTGATCGGACTACTCAGATCTGATACCAGTGACAATTTTAGATTTCTTTTCGTTGCACTTTTTGTCAATCTTTATTATTATTTTTTTTTATTTTACTTTTTATCCCCTGAAAATTTTTACTTTTTATATCCTTCTTACAAAGTACTAATTTGGATAAATTACATTGACACCCCTGAGATTGATATTTATTACAATTCCTTCCTATTTTTTGGAAATTATATCCCTTTTCTTGAAGTTTAAAGTTTCATTACAAATTGTTTCCTTCAGAAATTTAATTTTTTTAAATACTAATTTTGCCCTCACTGGATAAATTATATTGACACCCCTCACATTTTAAAAATTACAATTTCCTTCCCAAGATTTAAAGTAGTATTATAAATTACCCCCTCAATTAGTATTAGTTGCCAAAAAATCATTGACAAAAAATTTTGTTAGTCAAATTTAAAAAATTTTGTTTAAAAACCAACGTAAGATAAAAATTACACTGACACCTCCTGAAATTTATGTTTATTACACTCGAAAGATAAAAATTATATAAAAATGATAATTATTTTTTATTTTTTATTTTTTAGTTCTTAACCAAATTAATTTTTAATTTTTAAAAAAATTTCTAAAAATCAAACCATATATAGCTTAAAAATCTTTTGATAAGTCATTTCTTACGTTGGTAACTTATTTAATTATTTGTTAATTTTACGACATTTTTACCATCTGAGACTTGTTTGATAACCATTTCGTTTTCAGTTTTTAATTTATGTGACGCCCTAATTTTTCTTTTGGAACATCAAAAAATTTAAATAACAAATAACTCACTAAATAAAAATTTTAACAACTAATTAGGGAAATTTAAATTTTCACATAGTCAAAACTTAACAACTAAATTACGAGTCCGCATAAAATATTACAACAACTTTATAACATTCGTTATTATTAATACCAACGAGTCCGCATAAAATATTACAACAACTTTATAACATTCGTTATTATTAATACCAAGGATAACAAAATTTTATTTCGATAGAGTATTGACTTTAAGTTAGCTAAGGTTCAATATTAGCAGCAGCTCCAAATTCAGCCTCAGTCCCTTCTTCGACATAATCTGGCATGAAACGCCAAGGCAACAAATTATATGTCATGAGTTTTGCAACACAATAAGAAAACATAACCAACCTACTATTATTTTTAAAAGAAAATAATCAAATCATGACAATTAAAATAATAATAAAATTCAATAGCATGATAAATGTAACAACCATTATAATAATTTCGACAATTTTAATAGTTTAGGTGACACTCAAAATCTCACCAAATAGATTTTCTTACTAACCACTAAGTCATGGCCACGGTTAATTTGGAAACCCCCCCTTGGTCAAATATTAAAGAACTACCAAAGATACCCACACATTGAGTTACATACCCAAACTTGTGTCATCCATGGTCTGGCCCAAGGGAAAGGTCTGCCAGGGGTATGTAACTTCCTTGTGTGCCACTCGCATTGTAATAACCCGACCCTCGTATACGATTTTGGTATCTTTTCAGTCCTCTATTCTGTGCTTTTGAATGTTTATTGAGAAATGCTATGTGAAATTTCGTTGAACTAAGTGAAACTTGCAAATATGGATTCCTATCTGTTTGATAAGAACATTATCTATCACATTTAGAATGCTTAAATCTGAAATTGGAAGCCTTAGAGGCTTAGTTGTCTGAAATTGATTTAAGATTTGAACTTGGCATGATTTTTAAGCTATAGTGAGATTTTCTGTCAAATTTCAATTTGGGATGTTTAAAATATGCCTTTAAGTATACCTCTATACTTGTGTTCCTTACATATTGAGTCAAGAACCTTGTTTAAAATATCTCCCAAGAGAAGGGTTGAGAAGAGAGGGTTGGAGAAGATCAACAAGGAAGAGAATTTAGGAAAATTGAGAAGCTCCTTTGAGATTGAAGTCCAAGGTGAGATTAATCCATCTAATTTCATCATTTTCTTGCTTTAGGTAGAAATCCCTTTGGTGTTATGTGATTTAGAGTTGTAATGGAAGTTTTAAGTGTAGAGGTCGAAGAAATCTCATCATTCATTTCTTTTTCTTTAAATTGAGTGATCTAGTGAGAAAATACATCTTGTTCTCTCAATTATCAAATTACATCCACCTTTATGATCATGTGTGTGGGTATGTGTATGTGAAGATGGAATATTATGGAATTAACTTATATTGTTGAACTTAAAGTTAATGATCTTATTTACCTTAGATTGATGTATGTGAATGCAATTTTATTTCCATAATTTTTAGACCTATTGGAAGCCTTGTGATCATCTACAAAAAATGGGGTTTTAATAGAAATTTCAGACTGAAAATATGCAGAATAACCGCACGTGCGGGAGTCATGGCCGCACGTGCGGGAACAACTACCGCACGTGCGGGAGTCACGGCCGCACGTGCGGGAAAATGGGAAAATTTGGAGTTTTGGTTCTGCTTAAAAGGCACGTGCGGGACCATTCTGCCGCACGTGCGGGAGAGTTTGCCACACGTGCAGGCCAGGCTGGAAATTTTGGGATGCTCCGTTTTACGTGTTAGACCCTCTAATATTATCGGAATCTGTATTTAATACCATTTTGATATCTATAAATTCAGTCGAAGTTAAGCAAATCAAAGAATGATTGAATAAAGAAAAGAGAACTAATTTGTGATCTTGTATGTGTGTAGGACACACTCTGGGAGAAACGAGTGCTCCGCCTCGGCACTGTGAGTAACAGTACATTAAATGTACATCTGTCTACTGTTAATATCTAATGCTATTAACATTCGGTTTTCCATAGATTACTACATTAACATGTGTATAGAGTGAACTCGATAAAAATGTGAACATTGAAGGAAATTTGTACATCTGTATGCTTCTGGGCCGAAAGGTCATTCTGTTAAGCCGAAAGGCTGTTCTGTTGGGCCGAAAGGCTGTTCTGTAAATTTCTGAGCCGAAAGGCTGTTCTGTTTTTATGGGCCAATAGGCCATTCTGTTATAACTGGGCCCAAGGCCGTTCTGAAAGTGATACCGCATCAGATTAACTGTATGGATTCTGTTTTTATGAATACAGTATGATGTATTACAATTTAAATTGGGTACTAAACTACTTAAGTACTGTTATTCACTGAGCTTGTCTCACTCTGTAATCTTGTTTAATTCTGTAGGTAACCTACTTGGAGGTCAGTCCTAACATCGATATCATCTACCTTTTGTCAACTTAAGTATGCCCAGGCATTTTAGGAAGCCGTGCACTTATTAGAGTTTTGTGGATTTTGGCTTGTACTCGTACCGACTACCAACTAAAGTTTGAATGTACTTACTATTTTGCTAGTTGCCCAATCTTAGAATTGGTGCTGTATAACTATATGTAAATAACTCAGTCTTAGATGCATATATTTTGTATGTTTAATTACCGGTTGTTGTGTGATCCTGGCATGATGATAGTAGCTTAATGGATACATTTTGAGGTCATCTTTGACCATCTAACGCTTCCAGTCAAGCCCCTCAGGTTATATATAATAGGTTAAGTGTCTATTTCCGAGTAGGTCATACCCAGACTGTTAAGGGCAAGTTAAGGGTGTGACAAGTGGTATCAGAGCACGAGTTGCTATCTCACACACGGGAGCTCTAGGATGTCTAGCAAGATTTAGGCATCATGCGTGAATGAACGATTGATAGCAACTTCATATGTATTTTGCTAACGCTAATGATCATGAACCATGTTCTTGTATCTTTTGTGTATGCTGTAATTATTTGTCTTGTAGAAAATTGTGCGAACAAGGACAGAAGATCCGGAAGAAGCTACCTCAGCACGGTTGGATAGAATGGAAAGGATGATTATGGAAATGGCGGAGACCTTACGGTAACAGCAACAGCAACAACAACAACAGCCACAGCCGCCACCACCACCGATACCTCCACCTGTAGTGCAAGATTTTCACACTGAGGACCGCACCATTATACTTACAAAGGAGTTTAAAAAGATGAAACCACCATCATTTAAATGAGGAATCGAACCAATGAAGGCTGAGGCATGGGTGTTAGGAATCGAAAAGTTATTTGAAGTCTTTCCTTCTACTGAAGTCCAAAAGGTGCAGCTTGCTGCTTTCACTCATGAAGATGAAGCCCGAAGGTGGTGGATGCTTACAAGAACAATGCACCAGGGGTTAACATGGGACAGATTCTTGGAGCTATTTTATGATAAATATTTTCCCCAGAGTATGCGAGACAAGAAGGTGACCGAATTTGAAACATTGAGACAAGGAAATAAAACGGTTGCCGAATATGAAGCTTAATTCGCGAACTAGCCCGATTTGCACCTCACATGGTGGATACAGAATATAAGAAGGCGCGGAAATTCGAAGGGGGATTGCGGGGTACTATTTTGGACCGAGTGAATGTGTTAAAGTTGCCTACCTATGTTGATGTGTTAGAAAGAGCTATTATAGCAGAAGGCAATATTGTCGCTCAGACTCGAATTTCTGAATGGAAAGGAAAAAGACAGAACAACCAATGGTTCAAGGGGTCAATTACTCTACCAAACAAGAAGCAAAATTTAGGGAGCTCTAGCACTACCACATCTACTCGCAATTCCGCTCCTGTGTGTCCAGAATGTGGATGGAGGCATCGTGGAGTTTGTCACCGATTGTCTGAAGCATGCTTCCGATGTGGTAAAACGAGTCATTTGATAAAAGATTGTCCGCAAAGGAATCAACAAAATGGTAATAAGGCCGCCACAAGTTCAGCGGGATCTACACCAGCTCCTAACACCAAGACAGCTACTAAACCTGTTAACAATAAGGATACGGCGAGACAAGGAAGGGTATTTGCGTTGGTTTCAGGAGATGTTCAGAATGCAGCAACAGTGGTGTCAAGTACATTCACGGTCCACGATCATTCTGCTTATGTATTATTTGATTCTGGCTCTACCTGTTCTTTTGTGTCAAAATTATTTGCGAAGCATTTAGATAAACCTAAAGAAGAATTGACTTATGTGTTGTGTGTATCT